CAGAAAAACGTGGTGCAATCAGTGAATCCGGTGTTCCCTCGTTGGACAAACGTGTTTTGGTCCTCGGTGCCGGCTATGTGGTGCCTCCATTTGTTGAATACCTTTTAAGAGACAAGAAAGTGCACATGACTGTAGGTGAGTGAGTGAGATGGGATAGCGATTCAGTGCGAACAAACTTGTTTTTTTTCATTACTTAGTCTCCAGGCATTTACAACGGGATGCATCTTTACCTACAAAAAGCATTGGAAAGTCGATTGGCATGTTCTCGATTGAAATAGTTGGAATTTGCGAAACTGTCTGGTACTAATAAATAAGGCTTTTTCTAGATCAGCAACATTCTGCAAGTCTTAGAAATATTAAATAACTTACTAACATTACTCCAACACAGGAAGACATATGTGGGCAGAATTGATATTAGCCATCAATTTCGCGTGCTCTCATTCAGCTACAAAAGCATGATCATGTAAAACGAAGAAACATAAGAGTTGAAATGAGTCATCTGAACAAGGTAGTGGAGAAGTGAGTTGCGTGATTTGTGTTTGGTTAGGGGGTTGAGGTCAAGTTAGATGACAAAATTTGATATAGAGGTGAACGCTGTGGCGAATGTGGTGGTGGGAGCGGAAGGGAACGTCGTGCTATGGTAGGCGGGTATCAAGTGTTACCTCATCATTATCACAACAGTGGCCAATATCTATTCTGCCCATATACGTCTTCTTATGTTGATGAAATGGATAAAGGAAAAAGGATGTTTTAAATATTATTGACATTAGTTTGCACTGAACATCTAGGATCTCGTACTAGATACATACGCGTGCATACTTATTTCGTGATGATTTTTGATGCACCCAGAGCACAAACACAGCGCAAGTATTTCTGGTACATTGTACAACTGGTTGAATACTTTGAACCTATATGTATATTCTGGATATCATGTGTGAGACTGAATATGTTTTTGAATACCTTATGGGTCATCAATGATAAATTTCATTCATCTGTGAAAGAAATTCATTCGTCATGTTGTTCCCGCTGTACTCAATGAGAAAAAGGAGTACAAATTTTGAACATCACGTGCTTTGTAGTACTGAGCAACTCCCCCCCCCTCAGGAAAAGTGAACTGATAACACATTCGTTCCATTTTTATACTGTCCACCCGACCCGTATCTACAGTTTCTAATGTTGAAAGCGAACTGACCGCGTTGAGGGAACACTTTCCACGCATTCAACCGCGACATCTAAACATATTCGAGGATGAACGTCATTTTGAGGAGTTGGTCCGCCAGAACGACCTAATCGTGAGCCTCATCCCGTGGAAATATCATCCGCTTGTTGTAAAACAGTGCATTAAACAGGCGAAGAACTTGCTCACTGCTAGTTATTGTACTCCGGTGCTGAAAGAAATGGAAGATGAGTGAGTGATTTTTCGCAGTTGTGCATGTTTTTATTGAGGCAGCAGAGAATGTTGCGCGCGCATATGGGCTCGTGTAGAAGAACCACATTAATATGTCTATTCAGAGGGTGCAGTTGTTTTTTATTGTGTTATCCACATGCACATCGGCACGCTCGCTTTTAAGGTTGTCCTTGCATTTTAACCTTATATTGAAGTGAAATCAATAACCTGTAGACCACGCATATGATTGCGTCAAGTAAATGTTTCGTTCTTTTAAACAACTCTTTAGACTCTGGAACATCGTTTTTTTATACTGCACCCATCCAGTTATCTTCAAAACTTGTAGCGCAATATGATAAGCCATGTTTCCGGAGGAAAGCACGAAGTGAATTGTTTTGGCCACCAACCAAGTTCGAACTAAACGGAAACTTCGACTGAGACTGAATGAACATGTCCCACGTCGGGTGGACACTTTTATCAACAAACGGGAAACAGATCAAACGTCATCGATCAATGAGACGCCAGCATCATCTATCGCACGTAATTTGTTTGGAATGAAGCATCAGTTAGATCGAAGTACTGGATTCTCTTTGATCCTATCCAACACCAATTCACCTTAAATGCAGTTTGCTGAAACAATCTCGATTCAAAGTTGGAAGCCTATTTAGCGTCAGCAAAAGGAGTTATTCGTTACATTGGCTTTGCCTCGGTAAAAGCCATAAGCTATGAACCTATTGATGGTAAATTTTATCGGTTTACTGTGATCATGAATACTATATAATCCGTAGTATGCACCGGATGAGTTACAGCGAAAATATCCGGATACAAATTGTGCAACGTGAACCTACTGTATTCTCTATTTGAATTCATTAAGGGAAAAAGTTGTTTCAATGTTTCGGTAATTCTCAACGCGCTGCACCTTTTCATTGACATTCATTGTTGAAGAACAACAAAAGTAGCTGACGGGTAATCGGACGGATCAACCTGGGGATATGTTCTACCCAAGTGACTCCTCACAGATTTATCTTTTTCACTGTACTCGCAGTAGTAGGGTGGGGGAGTCGTGGCACGAACTGAGAGAGATGTCTATTGCGATTGGATAATAATATTACACTTCCTGTTGTTTAAGGAACATACATGGGTGCAGTCAGTTTTCAGAAAGGTGTCTGAAGCCAAACGAAGGCTGCCGGAGGAACTACAGATAGAAAAGTTGGGTGGCGGTGACGGGAATTAAACTCATGAACTCTAGTTTGCTCGAACGGTGACCTTAATTGCTTGGACACCGCCGTCACCTAAACACGCTCACAAGACGTCGCCGTTACGGAGTCAAAAACCATTCAAATTGAATCGTGCAAAACTTGTCAGGTCGTAATGCTCATGTGTACACAACTGGTGAACTCTATTAGAATACAGAGCAGATAACACAGTTATCATTTACTCCAGTCTACCGAAGGTGTTGTCATTCGATGGCTTCAGTTCATTCGGTACAAGCAGTTGCACATTATGGCCAGCCTGGATCTACCTCTACCGGGTGTTCCTTTCATGCGGTTGGCTGTGGCCGTCCACGTGACCTTTAACTCTTCTGTGCCTTATCCTGCATCCTGATTGGTCAGAAATAGATTGTGGGAATTGCTCACAAGTTCATACCTCTCTTCTTTCTGGAAGAAAAAACAGTACCAAAAAAACTCATTTTCGATTATTCATACGTTGGCTAATACATCACATTTCATGTCATGTTTGTTGACCGAAGGTTCATTACAGAATGAGAGGGAAAATCCTACTTCATTTCTGCGACCGGATATTGCTCACACTATAAGCATCACTCATTCACATTGATTCTGGTCATTAAGTGGAATGGGACGGGTGATTATATTGTATCTACATGGCTATGGAATACTGAATGATATTTCGAAATCTTTTGGGGAGCACAGGGCGGGGGTTATGCATGTGAATTCCGATCGCTTCTGTTCTGGCCGAACTGTGACCACCGATCCCATTATTTTGGCAGCTCTGAAGTAAATTAAGTGAGAGTAGTGCCTCGGTCACATTACTAGCGTGAACCGATCGAACTGTTGATGATCCTCTTTACTTAACCATACAACCAAGCCGGATGGTGCTCATAGACGCAATTAGATACACCTCTTCTCGTGTGGTCAATATACCTTGACCCACAGGAATAGATGAACTAGCACACAGAAAGGAACCGCAAAAAAAGCAATTTATCCTAAAAAGTTAATGTTTTTTAACTTTGAGTTGAAAATGCAAACTTCGCCGAGAGAAATGTTTTTCCGCAACTGTAGTCAGTTTACGTGGTATTATCTCAGCAGTGGAATATTCCTTAAAATGATGGCGATATGTAAGCCGGTTTCTATGCAACGGCAACGACCTTGCTTGACAACCGGTGACGTCCAGAAGTACCCTTCAACAATTGTTCCAGGTAGTTGTCCTGAAGAAAACCTTATCGAGAAAACCTCAGTTTTCTCTCAATGGTATTGCATGAACATATTCTAGACGCCTTTGTGGCTAGGACCCTCATCAGGTTTGTCGTGTGTTCCAAGGGCATAAAGATTTGAAGGGGAAACAGATTATTCTACGATACGTTCCTGTGGATACTGCGCTTGCACGTTCCGTTTGATCAAATAATCAGTAGAGTTTTCATGAATGCTATAAGTTCGTAATCTTCTTTCTTCGGAGTGAACCTTATAGTTGGGTTTACGGAGTGAATCACTTTAGAGTTTGAGAATATTCAGCCTCTCATCAATGAAATACAAGTTATTATCAATGCATTGCTTGTGAAATAAGAAACAATCAATTGCCCGTCTAGTGACGTTGTTCTCCAATTTGGTAACCTATTTGGCTATAAGTTTTGTCAGAGAATCTGATTAATACCTTCTGTGTGGTGGGGAGGCAAAAGGTTAGCAGTTATTTGAAATTTTCCATTACCATACCAGGTACAAATTCATTTCTCGGTTTGTGGCCACATGTGTATTCATTAGTTTCAGAATGTTTGTGAAAATCGGACTAATTTCGTGCGATATCCTGCGTATTCCGTTTACATCAGTTTATCCTCACGCAACAATTGCTTTTCAACAGTCTATAGTTATTTCAATTGCTGGCTTCCGAATAGATTTTGTACTTTCCTGACGATAGATACCCCAGATATATATTACTCTGTGCGACCTCCATTCGAAGTGTCGATGTGTCCAAAACCCTCTCACCTGCTTTGTTCTCTGTGAACCTTGAAGATCAATTCTTGCATGCAGCTTATGGACGGTCCTCAAAATAAGTGAATTCATTTTGTCTTACTGAAGTGTGGTTTATCCTGGACATGGTAATGTCTGTCTATTGGTTTTCCCATTTAGTTGTTATTCGTGTCAATCACTTTCACATATTGATTGGTATTTAGGATTTTCAAAGTTTCTACATGGGTTACACGACAGTAAAACACTTCCGAACTTTCGTGTCACGCGGTTCAGCTAGAACACCATTTACTTGGGGCTTATTGTGCTTCAACGGTCCAAAGTACAAGCCTTAAACGCTAGGCTTTCGTAACTGAACCGTAAACTCTTGTGATCACCGAGCTTGCCCATTGGTTCTGTAACCTAATAAACATTGGTGGGTGATGAAAAGATAGTAAACATCATTAAACACACAAATTAGATTCGTATGAACTGTGGATCAAGAGGCTACAAAATATTTACTCTTTAAAACCATCCTTTAGTTCACAACGATGGTTCAAATATCGCTTTTCTGACGGTTTTCATCAAGGATGAAAGAGCCATCCAATACTCTATGTTGTCCATTACACAAATCTTGATCACAAAATCATACGGTGTACTTTTTCTGCTAACAACCTTATGGAAGCTCAGTGAAACGGATAAAGTACTTCGGACAATCCTGTGAACCCGAGGAAAAAAGAAACCAACAGTGGGGAAATTTCGAAACACTTGTAATTATTACAACGTCTTCCGGATCCACAAGCCAGACCGGTGCATGTTCCAAGGAATTGAATTATTAATGACCCCCGTATTGCAATCTAAAATTTCTTTTTCATGCACATAATCTGGTTAAGGTTTAGGCAATCCATCTCTAGTTAGCGATGCCCAAGATCGTCTTGTGTTGAATCTTGAACTATCTGTCAACGTGCATCTTCCTTATTTGCAGATTTTCTCAAGTTTCGTGGATTTCATGAAAGTGGGCTAACTCCTTTCCTTATCCTTTTACACTCAGTAAATTCCGTCGCAATGACCGACTTTCATGGATGCTTCGCAGTAAAATGTTTTGAAGCTGGACACTTGCATTTCCTTTGAAGTGCCCCCTTTTTATAGGGTGCCAACCGACGGATCAAAAGCGCCTAACTTTATCCGAACTTTCCTATCAAATAATTGTTTAACTAGAATATTTTGACTCTGAGAGTACGAAGCCTTGTGATTCGGGTTTTGTTCGGTAACAAAGTACACGACACAAGTATCAACAGAGGGAAGAAAGGTTCATGGAATTCACAAATTATTCCGGCGTATGGAATCCACACAGTAAATAATTTGCATTTAGTTCCTTCAGTTTACAGTAGATAATACTATAAATGCTCGTTTGATCCTCTGGTGCGTTTAAAGTATGGTCAATATCAGAACTGATCTGGGCTACGAATGTGTTTTCACAACGTCTGTCCAGTGTATGATTTACTTCTCACAAGGATCTTACTTGCAGGTTAGGTGCGTCCAAAGGAACCTGCTTTTAGTACCAAGATACAAATGGAATAAGGTAACCCGTTGATGGATTCCCCTGTAGGACCAGATAAGCGTATTGCATTTCATGAATTGCAAGATTCTTTGAAGGGTTTCGCTGAGAAATTTTCATTAAAATCCTGGGTAACAGTATGGAACAAATCAATCATTTTGCTGATTCGAATACTCGACCCAAAAATATGTGCGTAATTGTAGATAAACGCATTAAGCAATAACTCCGTTTATCAGTATGTACAATCACTGTAACAATTACAGAGGCACATTCGTGGACACGTACCTAAGCGAAACAGACTAATATGTAAAATGCTATCAGCAGGCGTAAGCATTATGTGCCCTTCAGGTACAGTCAAGCCGGACAGTCAAAAGGGGCAACGATTCAGTCATATAAAGGATGCAGAAGATCAAACCTGAGTGGGGTGATCCTGGCCTACGTGATAACTCCAGCCACGGAGCGATGCGTTACATATTCTGGACAACAAACCCGTGATTCCTGATTCGTAATTCGTGATCTGTGCCTACTTCAACTACTACACCGAGACAGCTTGATCCTTGGACTTCCGGGGGCTGTTACATTCAGATTATACATCCTGTGGCATTACCTAGCTTTGCAAGCTCATCGTGAGTCACCGATATCATCCATGGTAGCTTCAGCCTCCAGGCATCATAATTCCTGAAAATTTTAGGGACCTGACTATGCTGAACATGGAATTGGTGGAATTTCTCTCGTGATTTATAACTGATCTTGCCTCGTGTATTAAATTTGTGTGATTGTAATTTTCAATTCGATAAACAAAGCGTTTGACTTGNTTTGACTTGAATTCTCTCCATGGTTCTGCACAGGGTAATAAAGTGAATTTAAATGGATGCATATTCATTCTGATTTGTTAGTTATACACCGGTAAAATTAAAAAAAATTTTCAAATTGACGGATGAAGTCATCTAGGGTGATTAAAAAAATTTTCCTCGATAAACATTTGCTTGATGATGAGGGAAAATTGGAGATTTGGTTCTGAATCCGATTAAAGAAAGGTCATTAACTCCACAAAGTATATCAGTTTTATTATTCACCTGTAGCCGACTATCTATAGCTTTAAATGAGTCTCCAATGAACATCTAAATCAATTTGAAATTTCCACCACACTTCTGCCGATTAAATTTGCCTTCAGTTCTTATTTTTTGTTACCCTTCAAAGAATCAACAAGGCAGGTATAACTGCATTCATGGAAATCGGGTTGGATCCGGGGATAGATCATTTGCTTACAAAGGAATGCGTAGACTATGTCAAAGAACACAACGGCCGTGTTATTTCTTATCGATCATTCACGGGTGGATTACCGGCTCCGGAAAACTCAAACAATCCTTTACGATACAAATTCAGTTGGAGCCCGGAAGCAGCAATGTCAACTGTGATGAACGGTGCAAAGTATCTGGAAGATGGTCAGGTAAGAGTCGTTAGTAAAACTGCAGCTTTTAATTGCATTCGTTATATCATGTGTCCGAAAATTAAAAACACGAAAACATAAATTCGATTAACCTTGAACACCTGTCTCACCACTGAGCACATTAAAGACAAAATGTGTGAACTAAATGAGCTATCAACAGTTGTTTTCTGACATAAAAGTGACCTTCTTCATCGTTTAAATCGAACGTTTAATCGCTGGATTTTAAGTCATTTAAAGTTCAACTACTTGCTTTGTCAACTTCAGTCAATGAAGATTCACTATCGAGCTCATTCGGGTACGATAGCAACAATATGTCCAACATTTATATGTATACAGAAACAGAAGAAATAACAACGCTTAAGAAACCCAGTCAGATACGGGATCACCGACAGCTTTGAAATCGCATTGATAACGTTGCCCGGTCTGCCTGCAAAATCTCTGTAATCAACATTCCCAGCTCGGAGAATTCTACAACACCAAAATCCGTATCTCAAACTGCAATCAAATGACAAGGAAATCCTTCGGTTAGAGACAGGAATATCACTGGTGTGTTATATGATAAATGGGACGTAAAATTAAAGTACACAAACAGTATGAATAAATTTTCGAGTTAACAGAAGGGACTTAGATGTAAGATGGGAAGTTACCTGTCCTAACAAGCGATATCGACACTACTCCTAAAGTTTTCCGCATATAAATTTATACCAGCAGAACTAACCGTTTCACCGGGTATATTTTCATTCATGGGGATATCAACCAGTGATAACCCGGCGGTACCGTATCCAAACTATTAATCCGGAGGACGTATACTCGAATCTCATCACCACCATCTAACCTTCTCATTCTTTGTGTTTTGCATCCTATTCCTTTGCTGGGCCGCTTCCTCCTTCTTGAAAATTGTATCTTTGATATATTCAATAAAAGGAAGTAAAGATGGAAAAGAAAAGTAATGCAGAAGCATTTGATATTCTTCTTTCTAATTTCTCACACTCGGCTTATCTGAAGAAGTGTTGAGCAGCGGGAAGAGCGCAAAATGATTAGTATTTCGTTCCATATTAAGTAATGAGTATCACATATTGTTCACACAGCACAGTGTTTTAACCACAGAACCCGGGATATAATCAGTCTCCCATAGCAGGATTCACACATATAATGCAAGGGTTTTTCAGAAACCAAATAACGTGTCCCAATCCTCGACCAACACACTTGAACATAGTTACCGTTTTCTTGGATTTTTACACAGCTTAACCTATTTGTTTGTCATCTGCACAATATCTTACTGTATATATTCCATTTTTATAATTTATGGGGGGAGTGGGGGATGAAATGGTTTGGATGCAACGTAAATCTATTTTCGATCCCAAGATTCTACACATTGACACTGACTGAAGGTTATTTCTATAGTGTGTCACTGAAAATGAGCGATATTCCCCATTTTAGGCTCATGCAATGATGGGAGTCTCCCGTGTTTAATGTTCTTGCCTGATTCGAAATGACGGCACAATTATTCCTAGTTTTATGCATACTGGCTGAAGATATTGACTGAAAATTTAGGATAAAGCGTTTTTATCAAACATAAAGGTTTTTAGTTCAAGAGAATAGATGTGTAATCTATTCAACGATTCCTGAACCACTCACACACAGTGGGAATATTTAGAACTTCTAGTTTTCAGTGAGTACATAGCACAGTACAGAACACAAAAGAACCAGCAGTGTTTATAATAGCTGTTACTACTTATGCAATTATGCACCTGAGTTTGCCTAAAGTCAGGAGCGGAGTTGTTTTCGGAAGAATATAATTTGTTGCCTTTTAGGATAGATTGCATCGATTACCAGTAATACTGAAAAACATCAAGAGATCTCAATGTGAATTTTGCGGTTTATTTATTATCGAGAACTGCATCACCTATGTCGGTGTGAATTATGAAACCATAGAAGGACATGCTACATTTTCGCGCCTTCTATAGAATGCATCATCAATTCAAAAGCGGAGATATCATTCTTCCTCCAAAGTGCCTGGTAGGAAATAATCATCAATGTTTCAAAGACCCTTAAGCAATGAGATACTGTGAATGGCGTGGACATCAAATGCTTTGTGAGGAACTGTTCAGCGGATTCTGACACCCTAGTGGTGCTATTTTAGAATGAGTCCTGAAATTTATGCAACTGCGAGATGATCCATATATGCTCTCCAAACTGTATTGTCCAAATTCAATGTCCAGATCAAAGAAATCCCGGCAGATGGTAGTCTGATGAAAATGGCTAGACCGATGAATGTATTCCCTGGATTCAATTTGGAAGGCTATCCGAACAGAGATTCTACACGATACATCCAGTTGTACGGTCTAGAAGGCTGTCAAACTGTTCTCCGGGGCACAATGCGCTACGGCGGGTACACTGAAGCTGTTTCTGTCCTACTGAATTTGGGTCTGCTGGATTCCGATTCCAAACCATATTTGCAACCGGGTGCTAAAACTGTAACATGGGTAAGTAATTCCGTCGGGTACTGATAGTCATATCTTTCCTTCCCTTATTGGTAAGGATGTTGCAGTGAGTTGCGCTGTTTCACACATGTACGGGAAATATATGCAATGCTAGAACGCAGCAATATAGTATTGCACTGCAATTGCATTTCTTCGAACAATATCATTTTTGCATTTAATTCAAAGTTACTTGTGAGTAGTAGCGTGGAATAATTGATATTGATTTGAATTGACTATCCTTCGGACTTCACGTTCACACACTACCCTCGGTTCATCCACTCGACCAAATCAATACCAATTACCCTACACCACTGCTCGCAGTTAACTGTGAGGTGAATGTGAATTCTCAAGCGAACCTAGTAGGTTGGCGGAGAGTCAGCTCTCAACGTGCATGAAAGTCCTGACTTGGTGGGAGTCAACAGATAGTCACTTGTCTCGCTTCGTTGCTGTCAGACCCAAATGATCTGACTGACTACCAATGAAGACGACACCCGAACAAGCATCAAGTGGAAATTGGGTTCAGCCTTGGTATGAGCTGGTTGGTACAGAGGTAACACATACGCCTTTCATGCGATGGGTCCGGAGTTCAAAGACCGAATGAGACGGAGGATATGCACTACTGGTGAACTCTAATAAGAGCGAAACTAGTGCTTCTGGGTGTATGGTTGATCAGATGAATTGAGGATTGTGCATGAAAGTGAATTCTGAAGGATAGTCAGTTCAAATCAATGTCATTTTATTATGAATTGTCATCCTGTTTTCCATTACTAAACTTATTCAAGCAACAAGCTCCTCAGTCGGACTTCACGCAATTGAGCATGCTGGACTGCAAGTTGAAAAATCTAACACTGAGAGGTCAATTTTCGTCTAAGTGACTATGGCCAACATTTAGCGATAGAGATTGAACGGCACTCCATGTAGTATCAACGCTCAACTAATAGCCGAAGCCAATCGTGGTAGCGACTTTCAAGCCTGACTCTCGAACAACCATAAGTTCAGTGAATATACGGTGCCGGCGAATCATAAGAAAGATGTGCCAGTCATGCAGTGTTCCAGCTGCATGACAATGGTATGTGTGGCGAAACGGAATTGTATGCCAATCAACTTCCGGACCTGATTGATTCTCATCAGCAGTTTGAATCCATCGACCAAACTGTGGATCGAACCCGGGACCTCACAGGCAGAACGCAAGCGTGCTACCCACTCGGCCACCGGGAAGCTGATCGAACCGTTTTTCATTTTCCATTTACGCAATATAGAGCAACCCCTCTTAGCGACCTCGTTGCGGGTCACAGACCCGGCTCATCTCAGCACTAGCCTCTGGGTTATGACTCGGTAGGAAACATTCACAACCTGACTACTTATTTCAAGTGAGTAATGGAGGATTTGGTTCAAGTTCCAAGGTGAATTCCAATGAGACCGAACCAGGTCGAAACAGCTGTCCAGTACTTCCTAGCTTCTCATTTACCCCTTATTTGCTATATATATGACGAATTGACCTTTGAAACTTCCGGACCATTTCATCTCCCGTTAAGAGAAGTACTTTATTGCATCAATTGATAAAATTACTCTCGATCTAAGTAATCAGTATCAAGAAAAATCTCGTACAGACATTCGGAAAAGTCCTAATTGTCATCATCATCTAATCTGGTGTTAGCATGAAGCGTCACAACTC